ATATATATATATATATATATATATATATATATATATATAACTATTCTTAGCGTGAATCTTAATGTCAAACCTGTCGAACCTAATATATATACATATTACTGCTGTAGAGTTTTGGTTAAAATCCAAATCTTTCATGGATACAAAGATTAAGCTTAGTAACATTTCATACCTAATCATATAAATGTATAGAAATATAACTTAACAAACCTGTAGCAATTGCATTAATGTTATCCAATGAATTAGTCCCATTTCTGAAGGCCTGAAACGCAGAAAGCTTGACAACTGACTGAAACGTGCTAATGTCAGTAACACTACTCTCCACCTGTGGCAGAAATGTAGCTACTTCATCAAATTTTTTTCTTCAAATTAGATATATGCTATTAGATTTATGACTATTAGCTTTATGACTATTATATTTATGACTATTAGATTTATGACTATCAGATTTATGACTATTAGATTTATGACTATCCTTAACGTATCTCTTAATGTCAGACCTAAAAGAAATCGGCCAAAAACGGCTGAAATGAAAACCAGTGGTAAGTTGTTAGACTCAATATCGGGACAGAAAATGAAATATGTGATACACGCCAAAGCGCGGTATAACTAAAGACATCATTGAAAAATTTGCCGTTATGTGCTACGCATTTTTTCCATTGGATATCGCCGCAGAAACGCAGATAAACTAGGTTGCGTTCGTGTAAGTGTTAGTGTGAAATAACTCGTGAAGCTGCAGGTGTTATTTGAAAACCTCCTTCTTACAAATTGATCTGTGGTTCGAAAGATTACTAATCCACTGTTAATTTTTTTTTCTATTTTTTGTTGAGATATATATTCCATTGATGGATTTTTCAATTAGCTGATGGCTTAGGATACCTTTGCCAGGCAGAAGAAGAAGGCCACGAACGCCATTGTTAGAATAAATTTTGCAAATGAATATCCAAAATAAATTACACTAAAATTAAGCGCACATTTTTTTTTCCCGCACAGATCTCTAGATTTTGAACCCCTGGACTGCGGAGTTAGCGGGAGTGTACAGTAAAGTGCATCGATGCGAGACATGTAATTTGAGTGTAAATACTGAAGTATCCTTCGATCTCGACCAGGCAATCCTGGCGTTATTTTGCTGGTCGACCGTCATCTGGCATATTTGTGGCCGAGTTTGGGTGCCTGTTTGTTTGTTAGTTTGTTAGTCACGTTTCTTCGGTTTGTTAGTTTATTTTAGGGCGATGGTATCCGTGTGTGGTTTACTGTTTAAAAATTAATCCATTCTTACATCTCCCACGTGTATTGCGACAACTTTGGAGAGAGTAATCAAATATTTTGATTTGTGCGCCATTTAAACAAAAATGAAAAAAATTATGCAACAATCAAATATAGCGAATAAGATGAAAAATCCATGCTGTAGAATTTTTGAAAAAATGGGAAAACTGTCGATGGATAATACCATTATGGTTTTGGACCCAAAAACGAAGTTTAAGTTTTCACAAAAAAAAAGTGTGTTTTTCTATACCTTCAGGATTTAGTTTTCAGTGTAAACATTACCATACAAAAGTCATGCTTTGTATCTAACACTTATTTCCAGTAGAAACATTTGATCATAAAGAAAAAACGACTTAAAAACAGTTTCTTTCACCGACTCAAGAAATTGGAATAAATCTCTTTTAAGCCGATCACCAAACGAAAGCTCTTCTCTTAACTACCAGTGACTGGGCATAATCCTTGGCCGCGATCTATAACACTTAGCGCGCCATGCGCATGCCCCAAAATGGCGATCGTAGCAGGATGTCGTTGGAGCACACTCGTTCAGTCACAAGCCAACCAACAAACTGGCGCTCTGTGAACCTGCGCGATAATGAGACATGACAAGGTCGTGTTTCGGGCCGTCGCTCTGTGCGTCGTGTCGTTTGTGTTGCTGGAGTTTTACATCATCAGTCAGCTGAGACTCGGGAAGAGCAGCTCGGATCATAAAATGCCGAATGCGCTCATCGCGGACACCAGACGTCTCATCGCGGGAATAATGAACACGACTTACTTCACTGTGAAACCGAATCCCGCGACTTTCGAGTGCCGGACGCCGCACCGCACCGACAAAATCAGGCTGTACCGCGAATTGCTCGGAAACTATGACGTCAGTCACGTGCTTCCGGTGACGTCGTCGTTGTCTGAGCACGTGAGCGAAACGGGAGCTGAGCCGGGAGCCATCCCGAACACGGCCCACTACGTGTGGTGCGGGGAAAAGCTCTTCCGGTTCGAGAACTACTTGGCGGTGCTGAGCGCCATTAAGGTCTTGAAGCCGATCAAGCTCGTGTTTCACTATAACAAACTCCCGCTGATCCTCGAACTGTACCACACGTGGTTCAACGAGTTGAGGCAGTCGTTCCCGAGTTTGGTCCTTCGACCGACGAGCCGCGTGCTGAACTGCGATTCTCTGGATTCTCTTAATTTCGCCCTGGAGCAGTTGGCCTCCACCGTCGGGGGCGGTGTGTATCTCGGCGAGAGGGCGGTATTGACCTTTGTGCCGAGCGAATGGAAACACCAGGAATATGTGACCTACTTAACGCCCGGAACAAACTCCAGTGACGAAGTCATAGTGTTCGCAAGACATGGATTGGTTGAGCCAAACGTAACACTGAATCAGTTTAAGGTGAGCCTACTCGGTGAACCGCACCAGTGCCTATCCGTGAACGACTTCAACGAGCTGATGAAGTCCCGAGGTGCCGTCGATCCCGAGAAATGGCCAGATGACGTCATCTCCCCGTGTCTGGTCGCGCCGAAAGAGCTTTACCCGTTCAACATCTCCGACAACACAACGCCGTTCGGTGGCGTGGCCAGGATTCTGTTTTACGGCAAGTCAGACCTCCTGATACCCAAACCAAGCGAGGTAGGAATTCTGAATTTTGTCAATTTTTTTTATTTATTTTTTTTTAATTCGCTAATTTTGTGTATTCTTTGTTCGTATTCAGTACCACACCCGAAGTACAGGTTTATCTATCCGACTCTTAAACATGGCTTTAAATATCTGCTGTCACGCGTCGTTGACGGGGAAACGAAAGGCCCGTGGGTCATTTCATGTCGTTGTTTGATCTCATGACATCATCTGCAGTAGAGTAGAATTGTTGCTACATACAAAATAGTGTATACACAAATCACGATGTACGATTGTAAAAAGAAACCTCCTGTAACCGGGGTATAAATGGAAAGAATTACATTTAGGAACAAAAAAGGAGAGTGGGTGAGAGAGAGTGAAATAGAGACAAGGGTATGAGGTGATTAGAGATATTTTAAAGCTAATGCAACGAAAAAAAAATTTTTTTAAGGTTTTCATAAACAAAATGGCTTAGTATATTTTTAAAGCTTAAAGCTGAACTCAAAAATTGTTTTCTAAATGTTCTTATTTTATACAAGAAATAAAAACTTTACTTTAAATTCAATACCCAGCAGACCCTGTATCGAAAGTCTTTACTGATTTACGGTTCAATAACCAGCAGACGCTGTATCGAAAGTCTTCACTGATTTACGGTTCAATAACCACCAGACGCTGTATCGGGGGTCTTCACTGATTTACGGTTCAATAACCAGTAGACGCTGTATCGAAAGTCTTCACTGATTTACTGGATGTTGTTTTCCTCTGGATTCAGGACCCAGCAGATTTCATTCCCGCCGTAGTCCACATGATCACATTGAAACCAGACGTTAACAACGATTCCTACTGGAGCTTCCACAGCTACCTCAGCGTCCTCTCAGCGCTTTATGTTGGAGGATTTCACAGGTGAGAGCAGTACAATCCCATGAGGTCAGAGGTAAGTGGTGTAGATAAAAATATCACAAGTAGTGTGGTTGCATTTTGTGAGCTCATGGGTAAGTAAGAGTGGACGCCTCTGATTTCACGGTTAAGTGGAATTTAAGCCTCTGATTTCGCAGGTAAGTAGAGTGGATGTATCACATTTCACAGACTTTTAAAATTGTTCCAAATAAATATATAGCTAATATATATATAAACCGTAATATAATAATTCGATCAGTGGATATTTACCGTAATTACATTACGCTTTAAAAAAGAATCCCAGTCTTTGCGTAGGTTTTTGATTCACTTTAAGGAACACTTTTGGTACTCCAAGAGTTTAAAAGGGAGACGACATTCGTATATAAATAGCTGTTTTTAATTGACCACAAAGGATTTTGACAACTAACTGAGCCGCGTGAAAGCCAAGCATGACGTGGAGTCTATACGACATACTGTGTAGGGTCTACTACAAAAGATACATCATCTGCCAAACCCTTCATAGAGTCGTGCGACGACCTGCATAGGGTATGGCACGAGTTACATAGGGTCCAGTACGACATACAAACTATATAGCTTCTGCCACACTCTCCAGAGAGTAATGCGACGACCTGCATAGGGTATGGCACGTACTATTTGGGTCCACTATGACATATAAACTATATAGCTTCTGCCACAACCTCCATAGAGTCATGCGACGACCTGCATAGGGTACGGCACGAGCTACACAGGGTCCACTACGACATACAAACTATATAGCTTCTGCCACAACCTCCATAGAGTCATGTCACGACCCCCACCTAGTGTACCACGCACTGCGTATCTTGGGCTACACCAGGTTTCTCGCTAGCTGACTAAAAGAAGGAAGTCGGTACATAGATTCCTTCTGGGCAATAATAAGGGTCTGCTATGTACTACGTAGCTTGAGACACACCCGCGGTCTAGCTAGCCGAATGAAAGAAGAGACGCGGGTCGGGGTGCTGCTGATCGGTGCCGGGGCACCTGTTGCGGTCAATCGACACGGTCGACTGGATCTCAACTTTAGCCGCCTACCGTAAGACTCAACACGCATCTTTGTGCCGCGTTTGACCCTTAACTGTCATCGGTGAGTTCATGGTTAGAACCTACACTATTTCTGGAGACATTGCAGTGACACCCAGAGCACACGACCGTATATTAGGTTATAGCTATATTACGTCATCTTGCCACAAATACTGCAACTATACGAATGAATCATGAGGACCATTATAACGACAAGGAAACGAATTAATTTAAATACTGTTGGTTTCTTAAAATAAATGATGGTGATTTTTTAAATATTTTTTTTTACAAAAATCTTATCCGAGTAAGAACATTGGGATAATCAATAAATTGTTATCTCAGAAATATTTTTTTTACATCATTATCCCATTTATCGGGAAAACCCAAACATCTGCTTTTCTTTTTCTTTTTTTATTGCTTTGTTAATCTTGCGAAATTAAATTAATTTCTTTTTTAACAAAAGATCGGAAAACTTTATCAAAAAATTTTTTCGCTTGATCTTAAAGAAAAAACAAAATTGGAATAATCTTATAGAAACAGAACTTAAACTCACAAATCATAAGCCTTATCTTTTGTTTATTTAATAACAGCGTCAAACGAAACTGATTATGGCTTTTCCCTTTTAAAAAAAAATTAAATTACCAAACATAATTGATTCAATTTTAAATTGCTAATACTAAAAGTTTTAGCTTTATATTCGTAACATATTTTTTTCATTTTAAAAAAAATGTGCTTCCTTTCAATTTTTAATATCATAAAAACTTAACGTTTAAAAATATTCACAATGTCATCTTCTAATGTCAATATCTGACCAACCAAGTTTTCTTACAGACTTGATCTTTGGTAGATATTTTAATGTTAAAATTATAAATATATATATATATATAAATATATTAAAAAAAGAACATTTCAATACATTGATGTATACGAAACAGGGGGGGGGGGGGGTGTAGGATTGTTATAACTTTCAAGGGCTCCCCCCAAAAAATGAGTGGTTGCGTACGCAAAAGGGCAACCATCCTGTGGATGATTGATCACCTTTGATTCAAACCTGTTTGTCGATGGGATTTGATGCTTTTTGTTTTGCCCCATTCAGAACAAGATACGCTTAAGATTGGTCATCATCATCATCAGTGGCGGTACAGCCCATGTAGCCTGATTCTACAATTCGGATCGCCCCCAATTCGCGACGCCCCAACTGGAATAAGTCCATACAAGAGTGAATTCGAAAAAGAGTGAATTCGATAAATAATTAACCTTTCTCGGTAAAGGCGTACCAGTTTGGAGGGGGGGGGGGTGGGGTTGTAGTAGATCTTGTCCATTTTACGTGGATAACACTATATATAAATGCAAAGATATTACAGTCGTTAAAAGTGTGTGTCTTTTCTTTAAATAAATATATGTTACACCAATTTAAAAAAAGAAATATTGTTCATGAGCTATGACAAACGTGTGGTGAATTCCCATAATTATATCCATACCCTAAACAAGAAAACTGAAAACCCAATCTTTTTACACGTTGGCCCTCATCTACAGAGTGTATGTTCATGGTGATATCGTCCCGACAGGTGAGTGGTGGGACAAGCTGACCAGGGAGAACGTCACCTTCGTTTATGTAAGTCATTAGTAGGTTCTCTTCATTTTTTTTCTTCTTTAATTTAAAAAAAAAATTAAAAAAAAAATATGTTACTTACCCCACGATTGGTGGGTGATGGAAGAGAAGGAGCGGGCCTGGAAATCAACGTTTGATGTAATATAAGATACACTACTATTCTTTTATTGTTCCTAAGAAATGTGCATGCATTTTTAATGACATAATACATATGATTTAAGATGACCATTTAGCCCCGATATAACGTGATAATTGTGGAACATAAAATGGGAACGCGATAAGAGTGGGGGGATCATGTTGATGCGTTATTTTACACTGTCTGGGATGAACTAGCGTTGAGATTGGTTAGAAGTTGGACAATTTAAGAATTCATTTTTTTTAAAAACACATTTTTTTTTCTTGTATCACTTGTGGTTAGATAATTATATGGTTTTGAATTTGGAGTAGTCTATGTGCATCTTGGATATTTGTTAAAAACACTTACTTCTGAGGAATTTGAAGGGAAGAAACGCGAATGAATATAAGGAATTAGAGCAGCCATGGACTTTGATAGTGTTATTCCGGAATTCACGCTGGTGTGATAATAAGACGTGCTACAGACGCAGCGATGGTCAAGCAAACTGGCTGCCCGACCAGTGATTCGATGCACACAGAAAATATTTTTTTTTTAAAATTAACGCTAAAAAAATTTCACTAAATCGGCGGCGGTGTCGTATCATTGGCGCCATGGTGCCTCTCTAAGCTTCAATACCCGCTGCGGTTGGGTAAAGATTTTTTAACGATTCAATAGGCAGTGGTGAATAATGCTTTCCAGTAAAGGACGTCTCTAACCGTGCCATAATAAATAAAATGAGGTATCTGAAATAAGATTTGACAAGACCATTGTGATCCTTGAAAAAACACGTGTTTCGGGGCATATAATTATTGTTCAGGTCTTTGACAAAAGACGTGTTTGGCTGACACATTTTCTGCTGGTCAACAGGTGCAGAACGTGGAGACGGTGTTCCAGAATCCGGTCAAACAGCGCCCCCATCAGTCGGACATTCTCCGGGCGTTTATTCTGTTGAAGTACGGCGGAGTGTACCAGGTAGGTAATTTAAACGAATTGACCAGCTTTCATATTTAAGATGAATCGAGACTCCACATTGTTTATAGCGCTGGATAAAACTATATCTGACTTTAGAGCGCAATAATATGCCCCCACCCCCCCCCCTTGGCTTGACGAGGAGGGCGCAAGTTAAGGAAGTTGATGCCCTCAACAAACTGTACACATGTCTGATGAATGACAGAGAGTCTATTTCCTTTGTAACTTTGTCATAAGCGGTCATACAGCGTTTATTATTCCACGCCCAAAGTTCAAGATCTCCTGTATGGCTGCACATTCCATTATCGCATCTCCAAAAATAGTTTAATTTCCAATAGAAATATGATAGATGTGACTTAATGTTAGCGCACTTGGTTGGGTGGCCGACTGGTCTAAACTGACTCATACAACACCCAAGTAGTGGAGTTCAATCCCCGCTAAAAAGACAACATCCCAAGTACCCCGGGAGGATTGGACACGTTAGCATTGGAAGGCAACTCATATAAGAGAAAGCTCACTCTGAATTCAAACCAGGTGCCGAAATGATCACTAAATTGATCGTGGGCCCTCAAATATGAAATAAATGAAAGACCTGAATATGCGTTAGTACTAACACCTATAGCAGATAGAAGTTAATTAATACAATCTTTATGCATGGGAGAAATAGTTATATAATCTGTCTATATTAGGTTTTTCTTTTCCAACTCTATACTGAATAAATAAAAAATATATTCCCCGCAGGACAAAGATATTTTCTGGACTACTCCATTCAATAAAGAACTTCTGAGGTACCCGACGATCTTGTGCTACGATTGGCCAATTTACACCGAATGGCCACGAGGCATCAATCTCGGACTCATGATGGCAAAGCGCAACGCGCCATTTTTGAAACATTTCTTGGAATCGTTCTGGTCAGTGGAGCTTCTTGCACTCCGTAGCGACACCTATATTAAAATTTTATATTAACCACTCAAAAATAAAACCAGAACCGCCATGGACGAAGCTGATAACGCCCCCCCCCCCTTTTTTTAAAAAACAATTAAGTTAATAAATATAATTTAATTTTAAAAAATGTAGTGTAAATATTTCGTGAAAAATAGTTTTTAAATGTGAAAGAACGATAGGGGGGGGGGCATTTTTATTTGATTAACAGTATCCAAAAACCCAATCATTTAACACCTTTTGAAAAATTTTAATCTTAGAAAATTGGATACATAAATGTTTGCCAAATAAATACAATTCGAGGGTGTCAAGAAATACGGGTTAGAATTATCTTTATTCATCTTCAAAGGCTTTAATCACATACACGCACGCACTAACACATTCAATGTCCTTGAACCGTTACATTGACCTCTCCTCTTGTCCTGTCTCCCTGACCTGTCACTCTGACAAGTCACCCTGACATGTCACCTTGACCTGCCACCCTGACCTGTCACCCTGACCTGCCAGCCTTGACCTGTCACCCTGACCTGACACCTTAAACCTGTCACCTTTACCTGTCACCTTGCGCTGTCATCTTAAACCTGTCACCTTTACCTGTCACCCTTGATCTGTCACCTTGACATGTCCCATTGATTCCCTCCAGGTACCATGACGACAAGTCCTGGGGTTTTAACGGTATTCAGATGCCTTACAAGGTGTACGAGAGAAATCCGGAAACTGCCTTGATCTACGACAAACTGCAGGTAACTATGACCCTGGTCGGGGATTTCATCTAAGCATTGCGTCACGTATGGGGACGTGGTCAATACTTGAACCAATTCCTGGCTTAAGTTGGCTTGTACAAAGGCACACCATAGTGTGTTGGTTGGTTTATACATAGGCACATATTGGTGCTTTGAGTGGTTTGTTCATAGGCACATATTGGTGCTTTGTTTGGTTTATACATAGTCACATTTTGGTGCTTTGCGTGGTTTGTACATAGGCACATATTGGTGCTTTGAGTGGTTTGTTCATAGGCACATATTGGTGCTTTGTTTGGTTTATACATAGGCACATATTGGTGCTTTGCGTGGTTTGTACATAGGCACATATTGGTGCTTTGAGTGGTTTGTTCATAGGCACATATTGGTGCTTTGAGTGGTTTGTACATAGGCACATATTGGTGCTTTGCGTGGTTTGTACATAGACACATATTGGTGCTTTGCGTGGTTTGTTCATAGGCACATATTGGTGCTTTGAGTGGTTTGTACATAGGCACATATTGGTGCTTTGCGTGGTTTGTACATAGGCACATATTGGTGCTTTGAGTGGTTTGTACATAGACACATATTGGTGCTTTGAGTGGTTTGTACATAGGCACATATTGGTGCTTTGCGTGGTTTGTACATAGACACATATTGGTGCTTTAGGTGGTTGGTTTGTACATAGGCACATATTTGTGCTTTGAGTGGTTTGTACATAGGCACATATTGGTGCTTTGAGTGGTTTGTACATAGACACATATTGGTGCTTTGAGTGGTTTGTACATAGGCACATATTGGTACTTTGAATGGTTTGTACATAGGCACATATTGGTGCTTTGAGTGGTTTGTACATAGGCACATATTAGTGCTTTGCGTGGTTTGTACATAGGCACATATTGGTGCTTTGAGTGGTTTGTACATAGGCACATATTGGTGCTTTGAGTGATTTGTACATAGGCACATATTGGTGCTTTGAGTGGTTTGTACATAGGCAGATATTGGTGCTTTGAGTGGTTTGTACATAGGCACATATTGGTGCTTTGAGTGGTTTGTACATAGGCACATATTGGTGCTTTGAGTGGTTTGTACATAGGCACATATTGGTGCTTTGAGTGGTTTGTACATAGGCACATATTGGTGCTTTGAGTGGTTTGTACATAGGCACATATTGGTGCTTTGAGTGGTTTGTACATAGGCACATATTGGTGCTTTGAGTGGTTTGTACATAGGCACATATTGGTGCTTTGAGTGGTTTGTACATAGACAAATATTGGTGCTTTGAGTGATTTGTACATAGGCACATATTGGTGCTTTGAGTGGTTTGTACATAGGCACATATTGGTGCTTTGAGTGGTTTGTACATAGGCACATATTGGTGCTTTGAGTGGTTTGTACATAGGCACATATTGGCGTTTTCGGCGGGGTGTTCCTAGATCAATAATTAAAAACTGTATTATAATCCCATAATATTACACTGATCATAAAACTACATGTAAACACATCAAATTAAACCAAATTAAACCATGTTACATTAAACTACATGTAAACCAGATTATATTAAGCCACATGTAAACCACATTTCATTAGACGACATGTAAACCACATTACATTAAGCCGCATGTAAACCACATTCCGTTATGCCACATGTAAACCACATTCCATTACACAACATATAAACCACATTACATTAAGCCACATGTAAACCACATTCCATTATACTACATGTAGACCACGTTTCATTATGCCACAAGTAAACCACATTACATTAAGCCACATGTAAACCACATTCCAATAGACGACATGTAGACCACGTTACATTATGCCACATGTAAACCACATTCCATTAGACGACATGTAAACCACATTACATTATGCCACATGTAAACCCTATTCCATTAGTCGACATGTAAACCACATAACATTATGCCACATGTAAACCACATTCCATTAGACGACATGTTGACCACGTTACATTAAGCCACATGTAAACCACATTCCATTAGACGACATGTAAACCACATTACATTAAGCCACATGTAAACCACATTCCATTAGACGACATGTAAACCACATTACATTAAGCCACATGTAAACCACATTCCATTAGACGACATGTAAACCACATTACATTAAGCCACATGTAAACCACATTACATTAAGCCACATGTAAACCACATTACATTAAGCCACATGTAAACCACATTCCATTAGACGACATGTAGACCAAGTTACATTATGCCACATGTAAACCACATTACATTAAGCCACATGTAAACCACATTACATTAAGCCACATGCAAACCACATTCCATTAGACGACATGTCGACCACGTTACATTAAAATTTGACGTAAAACCCTATCATTCTGACCAGGTCATCTGCTACATGGGCGTGTGTCACCCTGTGTGGCACAACGATTCCCGGCGACCTTTCAGTGAAATACATAGACCTACAAGTCCGTTTGACTTAAATGAAACTTTTGGTAAGTATTTTCATTTACAAAAAAATATGTATATAATTGATGTAAATTGAAGGAAACTTTGAATGACTTTTTCCATATAAAAATTAGAATTTATATTAAACTGAATGGAATTTGTTCGAGTATATCCATTAAAAAATTGTCAAATATGTAATAAAGTGTTGATTCAAATATTTGATGGACAGAAAATAAAACGTTTATTTTTTTAAAGTCTAGGGGGGGGGTATAAAGGGGGTAAGAAAGGGGGAGAGGAGGAGGGAGGTTGATATGTAATTTATAAATGGCTTTATATCCTCAAAATATTTTTTTATCTTTTTCAATTATTTCTCTTCTGATCCAGGCGCAGAATTTTAGCAGGGCAATAATTAAACTCTCTTGTCTACTCATGGATATCATCCGTTATACAGCTGTCTATAATCTATCTATGGATTATATCCGTTAAACAGCTATCTTTAAGCTACCCATATATATTATCCGTCTATTCAGCTGCTCTACAGCCTATGGATATTCTCCGTTACATAGCCACCTATAATCTACCCATGGATAGTATTCGTTATACACCTCTCCATAATCCACCTAGGGATAATATACGTCATACAGCCATCCATAATCTATGCTAAGGATAATATCCGTAATAAATCATCTGTTTCCAGCTAGCTTGGATCAGGCTCCGAAGAAAAAAAACAACAACAACATTTTTTACAAACTTTTCTTTTTTTCAGCCCTCCATTTTACTTATCCCAAGCCCGACCCCAGTTTGCTATCTTACGACACCATAAGAAACGGCACCAACTACGCTGCCGTGTTAGGTCAAAGGTTACTTGCCGCTCTGGAGAAAGCTGGGCGGTGGCATTTGCTGGATAAACGAAATGACCTAAAAATGGATGCGGCCTAGAATGAAAGGCACACATAGAATAATAAATGGAGTGTTGCACTTTGTATTTTATTATTTTTTTTTTTATATCTTCAGTTTAAATTAGAGGCAATTAGATATATATATATATAAATGTAAAACAAATATTAAAACATTATCTTCATCCGGAAGATTCATCACCACAAGAGCAACTCGCCTGCCATGTGCTTGATAATTTAAGGTTTACAAGATTGACTCAAATTAGAATTTAAAATATGTTTCTCATATTAAGATTTCGATTGCAAGTGCCATAGTATGTTAATAACCATCTTATTACAAATTGATTAGTTGTAGCTTTGGTGGGGGGTGGGGGGGGAATCATTAAAAAAAAAACATTCTAGTGCTGCAATTCAAAGTTCCTACTTTAGGCGTCTAGGACAGTAACAGGGCATCCCAAACCGTGGGCGTTGGATACTAGATTCAGAGGCATTGAATCAGCGGTCAACTGATTCTCCGAAGAACACGGGGCGCTTCAGACAGATGTTACGTAACACAGCCGAACAGATGGGGCGTGTTGCTAAGCCGAGAGGTGAGGGAGGGGGGTGTGTGCTAGAAGAGGGGGTCAGAAATTACTGCATTAAATAAATTATCTTTTTTTTTTTTGGATGCGCAACGTCGCTGGAAAAAAACAAACAAAAAACCCTTTGACGTCTGTAGAAGTATTAATTGATCGCTTAGCAAGACGTTTCTTGCTTCTGGTTGACCTATTAACCAAATAGTTTTACCTAGTAGTCACATTTTTCATGTGTTCTGTTGAACAAATGACCTAACGCAACGATGGGTCAATTTTTCCATGACAACATTCGTAAAATGAAAATCTATTTTTAAAAAGTAACGTAAGTTTTAGAAGTAGATCTACTTTGTTACATCGAAACATATCCAGAGGTCAATATAATTATTTTTTTCTTTCTATCACATACTTTAATATTTTTGGCCGGTGGGGTGGTGGTTGAATTATAGACAACTTAAGCGTTATATCTTGTAGGTGTACTTTATTTGGACATTGGAGAGGGGGGGAGGCACTGTGTGATAGAAAAAATATGACCCGGTCTATGCTGGTGTATTTTGACCTATAGGTATACATGACCAGTCACAGATTCATTTGGATGGTGTCGAGTGAATGAAACTGTTGCTCCACACATGTTTCATTTTTTGTGTGTGTGTTTAAAGGGCTGAGAAGTAAGTCCCTATATCTATGCGGAAGCTGGGAACTCCCCGAACCCCCCCCCCCCCCCACCCCCCCCCCCCCCCCAAGGATTATAGATACATCTTGAAAACAAATGATAAAGATAAATATTTAAAAAAAACGCATTGAGTAATTGCATGGTGTTTTAATGAACCCACAGTGCGCACCGCATCACGAGAAGTGCAACGGTCAACAGCACGGCTGTAGGTAGCTGTGGCCTCACAGCTGTGTTCTCGTCACCGGTCATCGGGAGCTCAGCCCCTAAAGTAAGAGAGAAAACAATTTTTTAGGGTGTTTTTTCGACATTGAAAATATGTTTTTAGATGCACTTCCGGTCAACCCACCCACCCACTCCCACTTTTTCCGAAACCCGAATTTCATTAACTATACGTGGCATGCGATACGTGCGTAGACATATTTTCTGTTATTTTAATCAGACTTAATTTTGTGTTCGAATAATTTTTTTTTCTGAAATTAAATTTTATTTGTGTTGTTTGCCTGCATTAATTTTTATATTGTTCTTGCTTTCAGAAACATCGTAATGATATAATGGGGAATTATTAAAATAAATTAGCACTACCTAAATTTATTTTAATAATTCCCCATTATATCATTATAATGGGGAATTATTAAAATAAATTAGCACTACCTTAAAGTATATACTGTATAAGGAGACAACAAAGCTCATCATCATCCTCCAGATTACAAAAAAAAAAAAAACTAGTGCGCATTGTATAGTTATTTAATAACATTACGCTGATGACCTATGCGAGGTTCATTTTAACAAGTCTTTAATTTTGAGCATAGTTTACGATCTTCTGCTTTAAAATAGTTGACTTTAAATTTAGAGCAAATCAAAGATATGGGGCTCCAATCAAATTAATAATTATATATATATATATTAAATCCTCTGATTTAGCTAACCCCTGGCTAACTGTAATTGAACTTATGCGACTTTCAATTAATTGCACATTTTCAGTCCTGAAAAATGATTTTCTTTGTGTGTCTAAATTGATCAAAGCACCCGATCATGGTCCAAGATCGAAGAACAATTTTAAGTTTTCTTTTGTGTGTTGATCTTATTATCAATCAATCGATAGATCAATAGTTTGTTTGATTGATATAATTGATATAATATATGATGTATATACCATTTATAAATAAAATTAAAGATAAAGAATGGCAATTCGCTGCGTTGTGTTTTAATATAATATGTGTATCTTATTTCATACGTGATGTCCTTGCATGAACGATTTATTCTGAAAGAGACGAATGATCTCAAAAAATGTCAAATACCTGCAGGCAGAGCTTGATCAGGGGCCCCCTCTTGAAGCAAAATGTCGGCACAACTGTAGTAGGCGCGCCCCGCGGGCTGGTAGATGGCCTACAAGTGGTGACAAGGTATGAGAAAATTTGGTCAAGGGGGCAATCCAGGCAAAAGTTGAGATTCAACGCGTATAGCAGATCTTATGGCAACAGTAAACAGAAATTGACACCTCAATATTATAACGTCACTATTTCGTCATGTCCACCAGTCGCACCACTGTGTTACACATTCCCCATGGACGAGATAATTTAAATTCAGTTTTTTTTCTATATATTAAGGGCCCACGAAGAACTGATTGATCATTATGGCTCATATGTGTTCAGTTTTCGCCGTCTATACATGAAATTATCAAAGTATAAAATTCATCAACATGTTGTTGTTTTTTTTCAAATGTGCAACAAAAAAATTCTTATAATGTATATGCATTGGAAAAAAAAATGTTTGACTATCAACTCAAGTAGTTCAGTTTAAATTGAATATGTTGAAAATGAATAACACGGCCACTTTTTGGCTACACATTTCTTTCTTTGAACAACGAAAGCGATTTAATCTTATTATATTTTTAGAAAAAACCATTTTAATATCTTAATCCTATGATACTTGAGAAATGTAAATTAAATAAATTAATTCCTATTGATTTTTCCAGTCGAAGGCTTTATGTAAGTAAAATCCGCTAAGACGATCTTAACTCTGGGACCAGATGGGACGCCAAGGTGAATGTTGCAGTCCAATAAATTTAGGTTGAATTGTGTTTCTCTGTTGGTTGTTGTTTGTTTGGTTGGTTGTTGTTTTTTTTTTGGTTGTTTTTTCGTTTTGTTTGTTACGAGGGAAGGAGATCTGCAAATAATATATACATTTATAATGTTACTCATAAATAAATTTGTTTGGTTCAATTAAAGCATTTTTTTGGAAGATTGAAGTTACTAAAATATTCCTAGACCTGCATCTAGGCCTATTGATGGGTCTGGTTGGTCTAGCAATCATAGGCTCATGGTCAGTTGGACTAGCAGTCATAGACTGATGGTTAGTTGGACTAGCAGTCATAGACCGATGGGTCTGGTTGGACTAGCAATCTTAAACTGATTGTCAGTTCGACTGGCATTCATGGACTGGTGGTCAGTTTGACTAGCAGTCATGGACTGATGGTCAGTTGGACTAGCATTCATAGACTGATGGGTCTGGTTGGTCTGGCAATCAGGGTCTGATGGGTCTGGTTGGACTAGCAATCATAGATTGATGGTCATTTGAAATAGCAATTACGGACTTATTTTCAGTTGGACTAGCAATTATAGACTGATTGTCAGTTGGACTAGCAATCATAGACGTATGGTCAGTTGGACTAGCATTCATAGACTGATGGATCTTGTTGGACTAGCAATCATAGAATGATGGTCATTTGAAATAACAGTCATGGACTTATTTTCAGTTGGACTAGCAATTATAGACTGATTGTCAGTTGGACTAGCATTCATAGACTTATGGTCAGTTGGACTAGCATTCATAGACTGATGGATCTTGTTGGACTAGCAATCATAGACTGATGGTCAGTTGGATTAGCAGTCATAGACTGATGGTCAGTTGGACTAGCAATCATAGACTGATGGTCAGTTGGACTAGCAATCATGGACAGATGCTCCGTTGGACTAGCTGTCATGGACTGATGGTCAGTTGGATGAGGAATCATTGACTGGTATCCGCACATCAAACGTGGGGAAGGACTTTGAAAAATGGATTGAACTAAAAGGAGATTTGTAATCGTACTAACCTGCAGTAAATATTTCCCAGATCTGAAATGTGATAAAATAGAAAACATTGTCATTTTTTTTTTTAAATAAAAAAGCTTAATTTTTATTATAATGTCTTCCTTATTATTGTGTTTGTAGGAAGAAGCCGTTAGACAATGACCCCCTTCATAGGAACGTGCTTTAGAATATGTCATGATTTTATCGATAAACCTCAAAGTTATCAATTTTTAAAAAAAAAACTTGTGCGTACAATAAATATATTGAAAATTAAATTGTATAGCTTTTATAATTTAAAAAAAAAAAAGAAGCGTTTTGAAGGGAAGTAAATATGATTTGAAATTTGAATAGCCCGTGTTATCTTTCTTGGTTCTTTGGAATTGATAATTTCTGTGCAGTGAATGGGAATTTTGCAATGTCCTACTTACCCTCTTTTTCAATTCTCTTCAGTAAAATGAGTTATTGTTTTGTTAACAGTATAGTTTTCATTATTTAAGCTTGTTAAAAAATTAAAAAAAGGAATACACAAATAATTGTTAAAAATATATACATTAATTTATGTACTTATTTTTTTATTATTTTAAAATAATAAATGAAGAAATAAAATATTTTGCTTCAAATTAATTTTACTGCCCAGTACTTTTTGACTAAGAGCAGCCTGAAAATTTTTCTTTTTTTTTTTTTTGTTGAATTTTTTTCTCTTTCTTTTGTTATAAAAATAATTTTATGTGGGGGTTTTCCCATTTTTTAAATTATTTGTAGATATATATTTTTTTTTTTTAATTTTAAAAGAAGAATTTGAAAAATAAAAGAAGCTTAAAAATTTTTTTTTTTTTTTTTTTTGTTGAATTTTTTTCTCTTTCTTTTGTTATAAAAATAATTTTATGTGGGGGTTTTCCCATTTTTTAAATTATTTGTAGATATATATTTTTTTTTTTCAATTTGAAAAGAAGAACTTGAAAAAGAAGAACACAACGTCTCCTTCTAGTCCGGACGGCCACAAACCACGCCAAGAACTCACACATCGGGGAGTTTCACGGTCAATATCTTGAACTCCTCCGTTCCATCCCGCCACTGTCCAAGGGTTTTGAACTCCGGGTCGCCTACCTTCTGAATGCTTACCACATAGCTTCCCTGTAACATAATGTGAGCGACATAGTAAAGGAAATTTTTTTTTTCAAAATGTCAAGGGTATTTGTTGCCGACGAGTGTAAGATCTTACAATTCATATTGTTATTACCTCCATGTCACGTCGTTTGATTCGTGTTTTGACATAGCTTACACGTAAGGTCCTTACAATTCATATTGTCATTACCAATATGTCACGTCGTTCAATTCGTGTTTTGACTTTGCTTGCACGTAATGTCCTTACAATTGATATTGTCATTACCTCTATGTCACGTCGTTCAATTCGTGTTTTGACATTGCTTACACGTAAGGTCCTTACAATTCCTAACCTACTTACAGGTTTCTCCGGGTCGTAGTGGCGCGTGGGCATGTGGAGGTGGACGCCGTAGAGACTGCCTGGTCTGGCAAATGGTACATTATGGATTACAAATGAGCAAAAATTAGGAGAAACAAAATGTTATTGATTACTTTTTTTTCCCCTGACGAGGGTCTAAAAAGACATCACGAAGTAATTGATAATATTTTTTAAAAAAAATTTTTTTTTAATTAGTGATATAAATAAGGGAATATTTCAAACGAAACATCCGATAGCGGTAGAGAAAAATATTGAGAGAAATAGACAGGCAACAAATACGGTTCTCAGTAACGTACTTGATGGCTTTAGGGTTTGTGCTCGCATTCTGTGGGAAGTCTTTGCCGCAGGGAGGGTTAGAGTTCTGGAAGCAGTCCACCGTCGTACGGTTACCAGCTGCAGGACAATGGTCAAAGGGGAGATGTGACAATGTTCAACCAAATGACAAGCCAGGAGATTGTAAGGGTTTGCGTGTGCAAAGAGGAGAGGGTTTGTCAGAGTTTGTTTGTGTGGGACAGGGGTGTGTACGTAGTTTAGGGGAGAGTAAGAGTTTTGTTTGCGTATTAGGACAGGGTGTGTGTAAGTAGAGCAAGGATGTAAGGGTTTGAGCGTTTTTGACAAATGCATAGGTGAGGATAGTAGATTTGCTGTAAGGAGGGCAGAGGTACAATGTTACCGGCTACACCAGTGAGCTTTGAGATTTTTTCTTACAACGGTGAACAGCAACAAAAAGGTTTACAGTAATCGAGTTAGTTAATATTTTTTTACGAATTATTGAGTAAAATGTTTATTTCTTTATTATTTGTATAAAATAGACGATTATTTTGTTGTATTTTTTTTTAAGGAACACAAATTTAGTTTATTGCCATTGATTTATTGTAATTCAATTTTTTAAACATAAAATTACATTTTTTTTACATATTTATTATTTATTTCGCTATGTAATTTTTGTTACAGTTTTTAAGCCATTTGTAAACAACATCCCATTATTAAATTGTTTACAATAATAAAAAAAAAAGCAACAACAAATACTTACTGGCCAATCGCTGAGGAGGGTCCTCAATGCACAAATGCGCATGCGCAAGAGTTATCATCTGAACAATCAAGGCCACGTGCTTAGATCTATACAAAAGAAACATGGTTTCCACTTTGTCTGGTCGAGTCTCTGTGGTACCTGTATCAACCTGTATCATCGGTGAGTTTCTATTTTCATTTCAGAATAAGACCAATTTAGTTTTCAAACAACCAATCTTCAAGTGCAGGATATGAATGTCACTCAAGATTATTATAATATATTATTAGGTTGATAATTGAAACCTTAACGAGTTATTATTGTGGATTTTATTTTTGAACGAAGTTATTTTAATATATTTTTTGACTGGTTATTGAACCTTAATGAGTTATTTTAATAGATATTTTTTTTTCTCTCAAGGTTATTTTAGTCTATTATTTGGTTAATCAGTGAACCTGAATGAGTTATATTTATAGATAATAATTCTTGTCCTTTTTCTAAAACTATAACTTCTTGAAGAGACGGAAGCCATGCTAATCTTAAATTTTATGTCTAATGTAAATCTTTACTAATCTACTGGCTTGTAAACACACTTTCCTAGCTGAGTGTGACCAGACAAGTGATTTTTTTTCGTGCGCAGAATTTTTAAGGTGTGCAAACATTTAAAGAAAAATAAAAGAAAGGAGTACACACAAAATAATGACGTTAAAATTAATGCATCAGTGCTTTCCGCAAACTGCATAGAACTGCTTGGGGGGGGGGGCATACATTTCACTACTCGTCTGGTAAAAGTGAATAGATATGCGTGGAAAAGGGGGGGGGGCCTAAATTTCACAACTCGTCTGGTAAAAGTGAATAGATCTGCGTGGAAAAGGTGGGGGGGGGGGCATACATTTAACTACTCGTCTGGTCAAACTGTACAGATCTGCTTTGGGTACATTCATTTTACTGACTCAGTGACCTGTCCATGAAATAAGTGGCGCAGTACATGACTTGCCCCAGGTGCTGGAAACTTAACTTAAACCCCTTTGAAATCTTTAAGAAATGGAGGATTGCTATCAAGCTGTGTGAAGGAAACAGTAGAGCAAGGTATCTGGAAGCTTGAAATAGAAAGACAGAACAATAAGAGAAGAACGCTCCGGCTAAGGGCCTTCCTCAGCAGACTGGACACATGAAAATACGACAAGACATCGATACGTTTTAAGTGTCCGCCATTGTTATTGCCGGAAGTTTGATTTTCCAAAACCAAGATAAAGCTTCTACCTCTCTTGCTCTACTATGTTAATAATCTACAGTACTAAACATTTTTTTTAACAATTACCTAGGTATATAAGTTGCAAACCCTTTCCAGAATCATTTTCGTACGTTTTAGGTTGTTTGTTTTTAAAAAAAAAAACGCCAACTTACCAACAGCGTTAACTTAATTTTAAGAATTCTTAATAATTAAGTCAACTTTGCCTGATCTTTTGTTACAGGTTTTTTTTTGTCCAAACTATCTTTTGCAAACCACACAAGCCATGCGAATCTCAACACCACAAACACATATTAGATTCAGTTTGAGAAGGTAACTACACACCTTTACGCCATTTTCAGCTGAGGCGACGTCTGACCGTCTCAGATAATTACCCACCCACTGGCGATCTGATGACTTCGGGTTGCGATCAACGGGTATCGATACTGATTTTAATATATCTCATTCGGTTACTAACAAAGACATGGAGTAAGGTTGTAGAATCGAGTTAAGATCTTAATATTACTGTTTAATCCTCCGAGTATTATGCTCTGACTGCCGTGAGTGATGGCCGGATCTGTTCTTACATGAGGCTCTTCATGCGGTAAGAGATTGGATCGTTGAAAAAAATAAATAAATAAATAAAGCTGGTATATCCTAAGGGTCAAACAACAGACGTAACACTAACCAGATTGCATTGTATAACTGAACCGCTAAAGCTTCTCTTAGTTTTAGAAATAAGATGAAGATAAAACAAAACTCGAATTGATTCTGCCATTTTCGTCACTTGCCCGTATATTAAAAGGCGCGACGTGGTAACCCGACAGAATAAATATGTCACAGAAGACAAAACATATGTATCATATGGCTTTTCTTAATGTCCTTTGTTACAATCCAGGGGTCGCTAGGTGTTTTTTAGGGGGGTGATTAGCGACTGCAACCGTTTACACCAATAACTCCAACAAACAAACAACAAACAAATCAACAAACAAAGGAGAAAAAAAACATGATTTAAAACAATTTTTAATTTTTTTTATTTGATATCTCAGACATGGAGTACACTTTCCATTAGGCTAAAAAAACACTGGTATGATTTAAGTGTTGGATTTATTTGAAATGGGATGGTAATGTGTGACTGGCGTTGGATGGATTAGAGAATGGGATGGGGATATTTAGAGGGAGTTGGATTGATTAGAGATGGGGTGGATCGGGGTTCAAGTGCTGAAAAGTTGACTTGTTAGTGACGGGTGTGATGGTACGTGTGGTCGGAGCTGAAACGTTGAGAGATGGGATGATGTACAAACGGATGAGTTTTCAGTAGTGTTGGTCGGTGATGGAAGGACGGAGGCTTAGTGGAGAGTGTAACGGATGAGGTGTAAAGGGGGGGGGAGTAGAGGTGGCTTCATGAGATGACTCCGGTGAGTTGCGACGGCTTAAGTATTTTGTTGGCTTAATTTAAACGCCTGCGTCTGATCAGGATGAAAAACCCGGTCACGTGTCGTCGTATTCGATGTTATGCAGTATTGGAGTATCGAATACGATTGGTGACCACCATAGTCGTGGCCTTATACAAGGTGTCTTCCAACGTTCCTGTATACCTCTACGTTGCTTTAGGCGCGTCACATGTACTTTGTGTAATGTGTGTGTTATGTCATGGCAAGGAATAGAGTGGGGGGGGGGAGAGATAGTGACGCGGTATCGGGAAGGTTATCGAAAGAGCGACCGTACGAAGCTCAGCGGACCAAAGTGCGGCTGTCCTGAAACATTGAGGGATGAATAAGGGGTAGATTGTGGAGTGAAGTTGTGTTTTTTTTATTATTTTTTTTAGTAGTGACGAAACCTATAAATATTTATACAACTAATTTATGATTAGCCGGGACTGCAATGGACCCTTTATATACGTACGGCAATGTAATTGATGAATACAATTTTTTTGTTGGCTGTTGATGATCTCAGGCGTCCGTTGGGATGTTATTATGGTTTAGATGCTTATTAAAATTCACAGCTGTAGCCATAAGAATACTGTAAGTTGTACAGGCACTTTGAGCAAACGCGTGGATTGGGGAAAAGAGATGAGGTGGTCTGGCCGGACGTGGTACGGGGAAAGATTGTTACCAAACACTTGGAGCTTTTTTAAATCCTTCAACTTAACTTCACTTTTATGTGTTGCGGGAAATATCTAAATGATCAACTTTCCGTCGAACCATTGAGCTGAAACTTAGCACATAGACTCGTAGCCAATGACAACACAATCTACCCAATTTTCAGGTCCCACCCTTAACCTCAACCCCGCAATAAATAAGCATTTTTACATGTTTTTAAAGGGAAAGTTCGAGGAAATGTGATTTCAAGATATAAAATTGAAGCTATATTTTTACACTGGTCGCAAAGTTACGCTCTTTGTCAACACCACTGAGCAACGTTATTTTCTTCCTTTCATGAAATGTCAATTTTACACACACCACCGCGCCCCCCACCCCCACACTTTCCAAGCCCACACAACCCCACACGAACGCAATCACGAGCCAACACCCCCACCCCCCCCCCCCCC